AAACCCTGAGATTTTCTAATATAAAGCATCAGTAAGAATAGTACTCTGATAGTTTTCAACGTGAGACTACTATTTAAGAATCTTTTAAGACATTTTCTCGGAAAATATTCATTTGCGCGCAAGGCCTGAGAAGTTTTCCATTTGTTATATTGGAAATTCTTGGTGTGACATGTAGTCTGTTTTATTTTATTTGTAAAATAACCCGTGGCCAGGGATTTGAACGCAGGTCAGCAAGATTGCTAGACAGATCGCTACCGCTGCATCACACAGCATCGCGAATTAAGGAATAAAACAAAAAATGTTTCCTCAAGCAAGTGCTTATCATCATAAACAAAGAGCGTTCTATTGTTAATGTTTTTTTCCCTCTCCCTTTGTCCGTCTCTTTCTGTACGCGCGTGTGTTGGGGGAATGCATAATTAATTTATAATTGTATTCGTTAGACACTGTAGTTCTGCTATCTTCGTATCGCACTCACACAGTATTCATTGGTACTGCAGTGCCATTTTACAACTTTTTTTTTTGTAATCACATCTAATAGAAATGGCATCTTTAAGGCAAACCCACACTGAAAAATAACGTACACACTTATTTAGGCAATAATAAAAAAAAAGTTGATACACCATCAAACATTTAATAAATGCCAAAAATGTACAACAGACTATACTTTAAAAGACAACATATGAAGCCAGATGTGTGGCGCTCCCACCCTAAATATGATATTACAAGAGTGGCGAAGACAAGCTACTTAGGGAAGAGGTGTCCACTGCTATTAAAACAAAACCTTTCCAATAATGTACCACTCTGACGACCCCACCAGTGAGATTATTAAAATAAAATGGTCAAAGTCACGGAGACACAATTTTCGGGTGGTGCTGGATATACGACTACTGATGAGGAATCCTTTTAGATATAGTAGCTGAAATATTTTGCTGATTTTATGAGTACGTTCTCTCTTTATGATGATGAGTATGATATCCGAAAATCATGGAGTTTGAGAAAGAAATAAGATACATATAATCATGTCAAATCTTCGGAGGGCTGTAATTTAAATTTTGCTTTAGCTTAAGTCTCAGAAAATCGGAAATCGTTATGATTCATTTGGTGCGACAGTAACTAGTATAAATAATGCATTAATAAATAGAACGATATCAAATTAATACCTTCTGTGAAACGAAATGAAGCCACATTCATTTTAAGTTACCCGGAAATATATCTGCGGCCCCCCTATCCTATCGCCATGTATCTCTAGTTACCTCAAGGGCAAGTCGATTAACAAACTTATTGCTGTATTTATATGAACCCAAATGTGTATGCAATGCTTTCTTCGGTTTGCAAATTAATCGATTTAACTGTTTTAACTAGTAAGTAAAAAGAGAAAAACGCTGCTAAGGTTTTGGCCATTTGTTTTCTGTAGTATGTGCTTCTATAGCTTGTTTACTCCGATATTTTCCCGTCATCCTACCCGCTCATATGACAGTGGAAGCCATCAGTCACCCCCCCCCCAAAAAAAAAAAAAAAAAAAGCCAATAAACAAGAAAATATACTTGGAGAATTTGGGAGGGGACATTCACATTTTGCTGGTCATTGCTGATTGCTGATTGCGATCCTACATTCTGCATCCTGCATTTCCTTATGTATCTTTGATAAATAGTTGCACCATTTGCTCCCAAGTAGGATTTTAAAGGCTATAAAAAAAATAATGTACAATGTGTAATGATGTAGAATCAGTCGTAAATATCTATCCCTCTCTCGCTCCCTGCCGAGCTCCAACTGGCAGGTGAAGGGATAGTGATAGAGGATGGCATACAGGAGCGTCAGTTTGGGGGGGAAGGGAGCTCTGTTCACCCCCCTCAATTTTTGGCTTGCCCCCCACGGCTAATTTTAATTATTCTTTTTACAAAATTACTCCTATATAGGTCTGGTTATTGCTTTAAAATGTCAATAGAATAGCTAATCTTTATTTTATTTTTGGGGGGGGCTTTCTTCCCTACCCACTCTTGCCCCCTACCCCAAGAAAAAAGCCGAAATGATGCCTCCAAACAGACAGCTCCAATGGATGTATTTGTAGTATTATCAAAGCACACGTAGAGTGATGAGGTATAAGAAGTGCACGCCCCTTCCTTCTCAGTATGGGGAAGGGGTGGGGAAATGTGGCTCTCTAGAGCTTAATCTTAAAAATAGTGGATCGTATTTAAATATTGTTTACATACTTGTTCAGGCCCTTCTGGTTATTTTAAGCCACATTTTCAAAAATGGCTATAATGATCAGTTTGATGACAGTATATCCCTAAAATATACCAATGAACACACAAAAAGTAAAAAAAACATCCGTATAGCTGTAATCACTTATTTGAATTTCCTGCCTGCTTGGTATAATGGTCTTTTCTTTAATTCTTTATTTTTTTATTCTCAAATATTCAAACAAAATTTTATTTCACTTTTAACCTGAATGTTTCATTGGACTTGGATGTATGGTAATGTCGAATATTGCCCCCCCAAAATTATATTTTGTACCTTAATAAGTATATAGTTCATTCCAGAAAAAAGTATGAGTGACAGTACCAGAAATTGTGTATATTTTGTAATGTGTTGTAAATATATATATAGTATAATATATATAGTGTGTATGTAATATGTAGTTTACAATGTATGTATAGCACTGAGAATGTATTATGCATATCTATGCACTCAACTTACTGTTATTATTATCAATGTCATAATTATCCTCATCAGGTTATATTTGTCAAATGATCATCATTACCTATAATTTACTTATAGCTGTTGACTTCTAGTAGACATTAACATTTGCTTTGTATTATAGTATTATGCACTATAAAAGTTATAGTAAAAAAATCCAAAGGGAAAATAAATCAATGGAATCCTGACACTTTGGATAATGGTAAATTTTACAAATGTATGGTTAATGCAACTCAACAAAAAGCTCTAAAGACAACTCGATGAACAGCTCCAAATTTCAAAGAATTATACAATGTGGTAAATATAGCACTGTCTTAGTAACAGTCTGGTAATGCTGTTTTGTCTTTTCCTTTTTTGCTTTAAGTTTTCTGATTCTTGGTAGTTTGCTTTGGGTGACAAGTGGCATGAAAAATCTAGTAAGAATTGTTAAAAATTATTGGGAGGAAAAATAAGTGGACAAATTATATTGATATTGCTGTGAGAAAGGAATCAGATGCTGGAGACAGATCCACAAAGAATCAAACAGTCAAAAAGTTCTTTCCAAACGGCCTATTTGCATTAGCTAGTAAAGGTCTCTCATCCACCCAGAAACAATATTACTATACTTTTATCATTATTAGTGTTTTACTATCAGCCCATTGTAATTTATAAATTTTACTTCTGAATTCACATGTATAGGGACCCCTAAAATTGATTCCTCCATTTACTTAACCTATTTATATAATATATAATACAAAGAAAAAAATTAAACAATCTAATGACAATCTTTTATTTTCTAGAAAAAGAAAGTAACAGTATATATATATATATATATATATATATATATATATATATATATATATATATATATATATATATATATATATATATATATATATATATATATATATATATATATATATATATATATATATATATATATATATATATATATATATATATATATATATATATATATATATATATATATATATATATATATATATATATATATATATATATATATATATATATATATATATATATATATATATATATATATATATATATATATATATATATATATATATATATATATATATATATATATATATATATATATATATATATATATATATATATATATATATATATATATATATATATATATATATATATATATATATATATATATATATATATATATATATATATATATATATATATATATATATATATATATATATATATATATATATATATATATATATATATATATATATATATATATATATATATATATATATATATATATATATATATATATATATATATATATATATATATATATATATATATATATATATATATATATATATATATATATATATATATATATATATATATATATATATATATATATATATATATATATATATATATATATATATATATATATATATATATATATATATATATATATATATATATATATATATATATATATATATATATATATATATATATATATATATATATATATATATATATATATATATATATATATATATATATATATATATATATATATATATATATATATATATATATATATATATATATATATATATATATATATATATATATATATATATATATATATATATATATATATATATATATATATATATATATATATATATATATATATATATATATATATATATATATATATATATATATATATATATATATATATATATATATATATATATATATATATATATATATATATATATATATATATATATATATATATATATATATATATATATATATATATATATATATATATATATATATATATATATATATATATATATATATATATATATATATATATATATATATATATATATATATATATATATATATATATATATATATATATATATATATATATATATATATATATATATATATATATATATATATATATATATATATATATATATATATATATATATATATATATATATATATATATATATATATATATATATATATATATATATATATATATATATATATATATATATATATATATATATATATATATATATATATATATATATATATATATATATATATATATATATATATATATATATATATATATATATATATATATATATATATATATATATATATATATATATATATATATATATATATATATATATATATATATATATATATATATATATATATATATATATATATATATATATATATATATATATATATATATATATATCGTAAACATATAAATACATCACATATTCTCTCATGATTCTTTTAAAAAGTGATCTTTATCAAATAACCAACAACAACAGCAGAAAAAATAATACATATTCAATATATATATTTTAGTGTGCTAGCTATTTCTCAGCACCTCTACTACTGTATTGTAGAGTAATCATCCATCTTACAGATGTAGTGTCAATTTTTCTCCAGTTAAAGGAGAGACATAAATCATATGGGACTCTCTGACATTAATCCCTCTTGATATATGAAAAACTGTCAGCCTTAATCATAATCTTTTCTCTACAAATCTTTGAGATCTTGTTTTCTCTTGGCTGTATCATCAACCTGCAAAAATGGAGCATTTATTAGTATCATTAACATTTATTAGGGTCTGTTATGAGGTGGAATCTAAAATATCTATGTGATCTGGCTATTGTGATGGTTGTGTTTTTTTTATGTAATAATGGTATCTTTGTCTGGTTTGACATTCTAAAAATAGGGATACCATTTAGATCTTGAAATTTCAATATAAATCCTAAAAAAAAAAAAAAAAAAGGTATTAAAGATATAACCAAAAAAAAAAAAAAGTTATTAAAGATATAACCAAACAGTTGTATCTTATGAAAAAATGTACCAAATGCTCACCTTCCTTCGCTTTGCTTCTGGGTCAGTTGATTGTTCACTAGGACTGGCTTTCACATATAACACCATAACCTCACGTCCATTGACTCTAAGGCCACCCTGTTCCCTAAATACCTTTTCTGCCTCCTCTTTTCTTTTGTACATTATGTAGGCATTACTGAAAAGGAAGAGAAATCATCAATGCAATTTCTGTAACACTGAAATATGACAATACTCACTGTAACTATTTTTGTCATGTTATTAAATACTACGTTTCAGATCATATTGTAAATGTTGTCCATAACAATATCTCCAATCATATTCCTGCAATAAAAGGCTGAAGCTCTCTGTGATTGTAAATCCAGAAGGTTCTGTAACTGGCAATTAGTAGTTACATAGTCAGTGATCTTGTATGTAGAAAGATTTTTTTCTGGTTAGAATTACAGAGAACTGTAATGGGACTGAGTCTTATAGGGTCCATTTGAAAAGGCTGTTAAATAATTCATTCTGTGGTACAAGGCCTTTAAATAAATAAATAAATAAATAAATATATATATATATATATATATATATATATATATATATATATATATATATATATATATATATACATATATATATATATATATATATATATATATATATATATATATATATATATATATATATATATATATATATATATATATATATATATATATATACTTTAGTGTGCTATATATATACATATATATATATATATATATATATATATATATATATATATATATATATATATATATATATATATATATATATATTTACACATACACACACACACATTTTATCTATTTCACTTTATTCAAGATTTGATGAGATAAATTCAAAAATTCATATATTTTGGTCTTATTATAATAGTGCTTAATTCATTAATATCACATGAATATGCACTAACCCTTTTTTGAGAAATTTCTTGGTCTGGATAATTTGGGCTGTACAGAAGGTTGACCTCAGGTCTTCATACGTTGTGCCTGAAGGCAAACCATCCAGAAATAACCTGCAATCAATATTTTCAAGTTAAAACAGGGAGGAGGAAGAGGGACAGGAGGAGAAGGAGGAGGAGGAGGAGGAGGAGGAGGAGAGAGGAGGAGGAGGAGGAGAGAGGAGGAAGAGGAGGAGGAGAGGGGAGGAGGAGGAAGAAAGGGTGAGGAGGAGGAAGAAAGGGGGAGGAGGAGGAAGAAAGGGGGAGGAGGAGGAAGAAAGGGGGAGGAGGAGGAAGAAAGGGGGAGGAGGAGGAAGAAAGGGGGAGGAGGAGGAGAAAGGGGGAGGAGGAGGAAGAAAGGGGGAGGAGGAGGAAGAAAGGGGGAGGAGGAGGAGGAAGGGGGGAGGAGGAGGAGGAAAGGGGGAGGAGGAGGAGGAAAGGGGGAGGAGGAGGAGGAGGAGGAGGAGGAAAGGGGGAGGAGGAGGAGGAGGAGGAGGAAGGGGAGGAGGAGGAGGAGGAGGAGGAGGAGGAGGAGGAGGAGGAGGAGGAGGAGGAGGAGGAGGAGGAGGGAGGAGGAGGGAGGAGGAGGGAGGAGGGAGGAGGGAGGAGGGAGAAGGGAGGGGGAGGATACTAAATATACAATAAGATTTGGTGATTTATGTAACCTACGAAACAAGAAAATGATACGAGTAAAGACTACATGATAAGGGTATATTCATAAGCAATATTTTCCAGTCATTACAAATGAAACTACTTATTTTGCTAGTCATGTCACAGACATGACTAGCAAAATGTTCTTGCAAAGTATTCTGTAGACTGGCTGTTTAACTCCTTTTTGCATTTATTTTTGTTGTGTCTTGTTTGTTACTAGAATAATTATTATCAGAGATAAAGGATACAATTAAGTAATCATGACAGCATTAAAAGTAAAAGGCTATATGCCTCATGAAAACATTGCTTGCCCGGTGACTATTACATTAAAATAACATCCAATATAACATGTCAAATAAAATGGTTATTAGAGCTCATTGCATGTTTTGCTTTTATTCTCCTTGTTACAGGGTTTAAGAGGGGAAAACAATTCAGGATTATGTTACTCTTTTTGTTACTCCATTGACAAACTGAATATGACATCAAGTAGTTGCATACATGGATATTAATCAATGTTAGTATTACCTACAATATTTTTTTATGTGTCACAAAACTATAAATACAATACATGTATATCAATTGTATCTTTTTTTTAATTTCATACCATAACAGGTGGCCATCTTATCACCTGCAAAAGTAGGGAATTAAGTTTCAACCAAAGTGCTCAGGTATGTACTTACTCTTTAGGGTAAACACATATGACTTTGGGTGGTATATAATTCTTAGATTTTGCTCCAACAAAGTCCACCTCGCATCTTCTCCCAAGTATCTCTATTTCTTCTAATATAGGTTTCATTTTCTCAGCCTTTTTCTGGGATTCATACTCAATGTAACAATATCCATACCTGAAATAAAATATAATAATAAGCCAAGACAAAATGATATATTAAATTGATTTGTAAGGGAAAAAAAAAAAAAAGAAAGACAGGGAGTACAGACACCAATAATTAATTATCTATAGATTCTTGTGATGTAAACATTAATCACAGGCAGCTCATACCAAAAGAATATATTGACAAAAAAACACTCACATCTTGTGCCGTGGAAACCGCATCGAAGCTGCATCATTAAACAAAGGTTTTAGAATCTTGGCATCATTTATATCAACTGCTGAAGGTACTTTGACATACAAAGTGCGCTGATTCCTCTTTTCAACCCGCCTCAAATATTCCTCCAATAGGTCTCCCTCTAGAGTCATCTGTATTTGGAAAAGAAAATGAATGTTTGGACCAACTAGTCCAAAGAATAGCAAATAACTTGAGAAGAAAAAAGGTCTCCCAAACACAGGTGTTCTTTCATTTTTTGTTTTCTTATTCATTATCATTTTTATTTGTTTTCTTAAACAGCAGCAAAAAAACAAAACAAAAAAGAAAAGAGGAATATAAATGTAAAACAATATATTACAAAGAAATAATATTATGCTTACATGATCTTTGGAGGTCTTCAACATTTTCCTCTTGGGTGAAAGATTTTTTCCCTTGGTAACACTGTCTCTTTTACCCTTCTGTGGGACATTTGCCTTTTTCTTAGGTTTGATTCCAACCTTGCTGGGAATGGCTCCTCCCTGGACAGAATTAGCTGCAAATGAGGCTGATATGGTTTCTCCCTGGGCAGGCTTGGCTATAACCTTGGCAGAAATGGCTCCACTCTGGGCAGGAATGTCCCCTCCTTGCTTAGTCTTGGCTCCTCCCTGGGTAGAAATGACTCCTCCCTGGGTAGGAATAACTCTTCCCTGGGTAGGAATAACTCCTCCCTGGACAGGAATGGCTCCTCCCTGGGCAGGAATAACTCCTTCTTTGGCAGGAATTGCTACTTTCTGGGTAACAATGGCTTCTCCCTGGGAAGGAATGGTTCCTTTCTGAGCATCAATGGCTCCTCCCTGGGTGGGAATGGCTCCTCCTTGGGCAGGAACGGCTCCACTCTGGGTAGGGTCATATCCTCTCCTGGACACCTCCACTAGAGGACGTACCTTTCCAACTTTCTTTTTGCATTTCTTCTTATTGCGTTTAATCTCGCCACCAGGAATGGATCCTCCCTGGCCAAGAATGGCTTCACTCTTGGCACCAATGGCTCCACCTTGGGCAGGATTAGCTCCCCCTGGGGCTGGAGTAGCTCCTTCTTGGTTAAGAATGTCTCTTTTCTGGGCTGGAACTGCCTCTCTCTGGCCAAGAACAGCTTCACCCTTGGCTTGGATGGCTCCTTCTAGGGCAAGGTTAGCTTCCCCCAGGGTAGAAATAGCTCCTCCATGGTCAAGAATTGCCCCTCCTAGGGCTGATGCTACATCTCTTTGGACAGGAATGGCTCCTCCTTGGACAAAAGGGGTTGCTCCCTGGGCTGAAATGTCAAGTTCCTTAGTAAAGGCTCCTTCACTGGTAGGTTTAATTCCTCCTTTTACAGGGCTGAATTTATGCTTGGGCACCTGCACCAGAGGACGGAGCTTGCCAGCTTTCTTTTTGCACTTCTTCTTATTGCGTTTAATCTCACCACCTGGAAGGGGTCCTCCCTGGCCAAGAATAGCTCCTTGGGCAGGATTAGCTCCCCCTAGGGCTGGAGTAGCTCCTTTCTGGACTGGAGTTACCTCTCTTTGGATAGGAATGGATCCTCCCTGGGCAGAAATGGCAATTTCCTTGGTAGAGGCTCCTTCACTAGTAGGTTTGACTTCTCCTTTGACTGGACTAAATCCCTTCTTGGATGTCTGCACCAGAGGACGGGGCTTCCCAGCCTTCTTTTTGCCTTTCTTCTTGTTGTGTTTAACCTGGCCAATTTTCATGCCACTTTCACCCTTGGTGTCCCTTCCACCCTTTCCTTTGCCTTCAACTGCAGAAGTCATCGCTCTTATTGCTGGTGTCTTAGCTCTCCATCTTTAAAATAGTTATGCCACTATGTTACCTGAGGAATAAACATGATATATATATTTATTTTCCTTCATAATCATTAAAAAAAAATAATGTTAAAAGAAGTATAAATAAAAGTACCCCACTTAGATTAAATGACATAAACACTCATTTTATGATCTTTTCTTGCCTTGTCTCTTTAGATACTGGATAGGCTACTTGTGTTTACAATTCACTCAAAAGGAGACTGAAGATATTTGACAGATACTGTTTGTGCTGATAATAATAAAAAAAAAGCATGTTACTGAACATTTCTTAAAGTTTTTCTCTAATAAACTCAGATATATCAACTCGCAATCATCATATGATTCTAGACAACAAATATGTAAATAAATAATACCTGGAAAACGATTCTCAAGGTAAAATTTTTAAAATGATAAATGGAATATGGATTACATGACATCTAAACAATATTTCTGTTTTATTACGCATATAAGGTCATTTACTTTACCCAGAGGCATCTTTCTCTTTCATTGTTATCCTTAGGTACAAACACTGTCAATAAGCTATTGTCACCAAATATCCATTAATAATGACTTATATAAAAAATAAATAAATAAGATACTGTCCTGCATAATATCATCATATATACTTTATGTAAGCATACCTATCAATCTATCTATCTATCTATCTATTTATTTATTTATTCATTTATATGTATATGTATACATACATGTGTGTGTATGTATATGTATATGTATATGTATATGTATATGTATATGTATATGTATATGTATATATATATATATATATATATATATATATATATATATATATATATATAATGTATGTATATATATATATATATATATATATATATATATATATATATATATATATATATAATCATAAAGAAAAAAAAAAGGTAATATATATAAAACTACAGTAAAAGTAGCTACTTCAGAGTTTCTTACATAAGCTTAAGGGTACAGCTGGATAACAATAAAAATTATCATTTTTCAAAATAAGAAAATATAGACAACAAATATTGATATCTGCAAACCATGAGTCCTTATATGAATTCATTAAGGAAGTCACCATCCTTTAGGTATAAGAGTAAACACTGACATGACAACTATGTGTCTATTGCTACTGGCATTCATATCCTCAGTGATCAGCAAAGGCCAATAAACTCTCCAACCTAAACACTTGGGCAAGACAGAATTTCCAGGTCTTACTGAACTTGCAGAAATTACTGAAGGTTTGGAGGCCGTGACAATGAGGGATGGACTTAAGATTAGCCATCCTACCAGATTGCAATAAGCTTTGGGTGGATTTGGCTGGAACACAGGCAATATAATGACAGTAAAAGAAAAAAAGAAAACTAAAACTAGTATCTTGCAAATCTGATGATACAATATTGTCAGGGAAGACTCGATTATCAGTTTTGGAAAATTAACCGTATCTTGTTATTGTACTTGCTTCCCATTCTATGGAAAATCTTGTCCGTCTTCTACACTGGAATAAATCAACAATTAAAAACAACCATGTGAAGAGCGCCAGACGAAATGACAGATGATAGTGACAAGATTACAGTGCCCCTATAGTTGAGTGCCACATGGTTTTACCGCACCCTGCTTATAGGACACGCTGGAAGAACGTTGCACTCTCGTAGGAAACGTTTCTGTAAACGTTTAAGACTAATAGCTTCCGAGTATCACATTTTCGAAAAGAAAACACGATAGATACAACCACAGATAAAATTAAGCAGCTTAGATGATAAAGCCATTATAAATCAAAGCTGAAATCAAACACGAAATCCTCACCGTACGAAAGACTTTTTGTTTTGAAAGTGCCATTCCCAACCTTTAAAGAAAATGGATTGCTGTGGGTAACTCTACCAAACACTCATCGAGTATTAAAAGCCACGTTGAGACAATATAAACAGCATTCACCTTGACTAAAGTTTATGAATTACCTTTGCTACAAACACGAACATATATAAATATAATCATATTATCAGTGACTCCCTTAGCTTGAATTATGTCGTATTGGTACTAGTGGAGGGAGCATGTTTTCACTTAATACCTTAAACCTCTCATTTCTCGTATAATAGTTGTGGCCGCGACAACTTTGAATAAATTGAAGCTCATCTACTCAATGATCTCCCTCCGTTGCATGGAGCTTCTATCATTTCCTGTTCATTAAATCCTTTCTGGATCACTTTTGTTCGCTCGCTAATGTCAAGCTTCATGTGCTATATAAGGTGTTGTCGAGGCGACTTCTTTTCTTGTACCCAAATCTTTAACCTTTTCGTTAACAAAATATCCACTGATCACCTCGATGTCACATTGTGGTTGAATAAGAAAATTAGGAACTACAGGGTCGGAGCTTTCATTTATATTTGTTTCGCGGTTAAGGTATCATTTCTCATTCATACCTGTTTATGGATGAATTTTAATAAAACATATGGACAGATCGTCCACTTCAGAAGTTGGTAGGATTATTCCCATTAACTCATAAGTTACGCCATCGCAACATTACGCTATATCGCGCAGGTACACAACCAAATAGGCGCGATAGCACTGGGTTAGGTGTATACATATATGTATACACGTATGCATGTGTGCATATATATATATATATATATATATATATATATATATATATATATATATATATATATATATATATATTTACATTGTGTGTGTGTGTGTGTGTGTGTGTGTGTGTGTGTGTGTGTGTGTGTGTGTGTGTGTGTGTGTGTGTGTGTGTGTGTGTGTGTGTGTGTGTGTATGTGTGTGTGTGTGTGTGTGTGTGTGTGTGTGTGTGTGTATGTGTGTGTGTGTGTGTGTGTGTGTGTGTGTGTGTGTGTGTGTGTGTGTGTGTGTGTGTGTGAGCGAGCATGTGTATTATATATAATATAATACACACACGCACACATACACACACTTTTAAATCTGTGGTACATACTTTGTTTAGGGAGATGGGTTTCCATAAATGCACACTTCAATTCTTTTTAAACTTACTTTAAGATGGAAATTGACAACAATATCCAAATAAAAAAAATAACATAAATAATAGTCTAAAATTAAAGCATGAAACTAGGTTTTAAATACATCTATATATTGCAATGTAACTTAATTTAATGCTTGTCTAATTTCTGTAACTTATAAAACAATTAAAAAAAATAATCAGTCCATTACCCTATAACTTCCACAGATAACAGTTGATAATTAGTTTACTAGCATTATCAGTTATTAAATATAGGTAACTGTATACAATATGTATTATGTAATGCAAAGCATCTCTTAAACATATTATGATGCCTTCCAACATTTCCACCCAGCATCAAAGGGATATTCATTTGCTTCTGTTGAAATCACCATAGCAGTCCCTATGAAAATGAGATATACATCTCAGATGGGAAGAATTGATTCCAAAGCAGTCCCAGATAATGGTTAATGGTTGAGCAAAATAAATGGCATATAACAAAGGTCATCAATTAATATAGAAAGGTATAGTAGTGAAAATTGTAAAGAGGGGGTTAGCTGATGATTAAATAAACTACATGTCAATAGTTGTACATCAGTTCAGGATAGCATGGCAATGAAAGGGGCAAAAAGGGATGAGGGTAGCGTGGGGTGAAAGGTAGGGATTAGCAAAAGGGGAAAGGGGTTTTAAGGGCAACTAGATCATTTTCAGGAGAAATGTCAGGAGAGTGAGAATCTAGGGAAGGGGGTTGTGACAAAGAATAACATGTTTAGCCAGGGGGAAGCAAAAGGGATAGTGAGGAAGGATGGGGGATGATGCATGTTCAGCAGGGGGTACAGGATGTGTTAGGAGAGAGTGGGAGGAAGGGGTGTTGGGGGAACTTGAATAGGAGGAGGATGGATGTTGGCAGTTACTTTAAGTCTAGAGGGAATGAGAGCAGAGTGATTGGAAAATGGATTAGTGTACCACTGTATCTTCATAAGTTTCTGAAGTGGATTTGGTTGGGGAGGTCTGAGAAACAACGGTTTTCTTATGAGACAGAAAAGAGATACGCTTCTGAAGGGTAGAAGAAGAGGTTGGTGGATTAAAGGGTGTGGTAGGAGAAGATGGGGTGGAAGCAAGTAGAGAGAGGGGTAGGAGTCAGTTAAGTGGTAAAGACAGTGGTATCTTGATTTAGAATTGTAAAAAAAATGGAGAAGAAGGGGTAGAAGTGAATACATAAGATGGAGGAGGAATAGATACAGGGGTGATGTAAAAACAATTTGGGAGGAAGCAGGAGTGGAGTGAAGGGCAGAACTGGAGTTGGGAGTAAGAGAAAAACTTTGTTGACCTATTTCCTCTCTAGCATAGCATAATGTGAGGCCAAATTTGATTCTGAGAGTTGCTACCTCAGACTCAAACTTGTAGGTAGGGCAGCCCTTATAAAATACATTATAGTAGCCATCACAGTTGGCACATGTGCGTGACTGTGAAGATCAATCCTGACCAGGTTGGGAACAGTGAGAGCATAGGGCTGTGGAGCAGCAGTGTTTGTCAGGGTGGCCTTAGATACCAACAGTTCTGACATTGCAGGGTGGAGGTTGATATAGTTGGACAGTGAGGGATTCTCCATCAATGTAAACATCATGAGGAAGGTCTTGGGGGAAAGGTGTATTTATCTATTTATTGAAAAATTTCTGCATCAACATCAAAGTCATTAGCAATAGGGTGGGCTTGGGAGTGAAGCCCCCATTTTTTTTTTTGTTTTTTGTTTTTTTGTTCATAGGGTGATATTTCTCAATTTTCAGAATGGTTAATGGTAAAAACAAATATGCCAAGTATCAAAGGACATATAGCATTATGATAAAGTATTGTGGCAAAAAGGGTAAATATGACTTACCATTTAGGATAAGTGGACAGAAGAAGGGGATGAAGAAGAGAAGGAAAAGGAAAGGGGGGAATAAAAGCAGGGGTGATCCCCAACATTAGGCCTCAGTCTCCATCTCCTAAACCCCCCCACGGCAACAGCGCGCAAGGTATTAGAGGAAGGGAATGGTGTAGCATTGTACTGATATCATTTATTTATTGAAAACTTTTTGTCCAAGTCCACATCTAAGATCATTGGCGGCATATTCAAAATATATTAATAGGGTAGGGCTTGGGGGTGAATCCCCTGGGTAAATTAGCTATTATTTATAAGCTATTATTTAAGGTGATACTTGTAGATTTCAAAAATGGTTAATGGTCTGAACAAATATTTGTAAAAGACACCAATGGTCATATAACATCATAATAAAGTGTTGCGGTGAAAAGGGTAAAAATTAGTTAATGATTAGGATAAATGGACAGAAGAAGGGGTTGAAGACAAGAAAGAAAAGGAAAGAAGAAGAAAAAACACACAAAACTAGTTGAGGTGAGGGCTGAAGTTCAAGGCATTATAGTGATACTGCATCATAGTCCACATGTAGGCCAGTTTGTCAGGGAAATGGAGATAGTTCTGGTACAAGTATTGAGGAAGGGATGAGGGTGGGCAGGGATGGGCTTGCCAATGAAATCAGCCAGGGTTGAAAATGCTTTAGCTTGAGATTTGCATATAACTGTGATAAGGCAGGTACAATAGTGGCAGCTACAGAAAAAAATTGCCAACTTGTTTTTGGAAATATTGTTGGATGAGGAGGGTGTTAAGTGGCTGTAGAGGGGATCACAAAAAATCAATCCCATTTGGCTGGATTAACAGAGTACTCATAAGATTTGTAGAGGTGGGGTAGAAGAAGTATGGGACTTCGTGGAATAGGGAGTAGCACTGCAGAGAGATGGATAATAAGGCTGCTGGGTAATAATAAAGGAGAATGAGGTTGTAGAGCATATTTAGAGAATAGGAAAGTTTCGTGGAGAGCCTAGGTTTAGAGAATCAGGGAAATTAACCCTACAATGAAGGTACCAGAAATATCTGAGCATCACTCATTCCAGTGACTTCTGGCAACCATCCAGCCTTTTGGCAGGTGAGTCCACTATGTATAGCAGAGCTTCCCACTCGACATGCTCTAAAGTGTTGTGACACCTATAGCCATACCCATTATGATTTCGTTTTTTATGATGGCTATAGGAGTACCTAGCTGCAAGAGGCTAAAATCAGTGGGGCTAACTGATAAAGAGGCAAGCCTCATTGCCTCTAATAAGGGTACAAAGACTTCATTACTGGCCATGGTTAGTCTCAAGTATGTTGGGGAGAGAAATGGGCCACTCCTGAGGGATAAGAGTGTGACAACTAAACGGGAATACTGTGCCTATGGCTCCGCTAGGCCATTTATGACTGGCACAAAGTAACCCTTTCATCCTTTCAACACAGTTCTCACATCGTAGGAAGTGGATAGCAGAAGAGGGTGGGTTAATGGTTAATGGTTAAAAGCAAAAATAAATGTGCTAGACATCTAAGGTCATGTAGCACTATAGTAAATGTTAGTAAAGGGTGGTTAAGTTAGTGATTAGTTAACAAAGCTGGGCAAAGGAATTGGCGAGTGAATGGGTTAAGGTCGGGTGAGGTAATGTAAAGGGGTTAGATTAAGTGAGGGATATTTATGTGTTTGAGAGGAAAACAGGTTGTCGAAGGGAGGATAGGTGGGGGGGGGGGGGGGGAAGCAGAGCTACAGGCTGCTTCAAAACGTGTGCATGATAATAGAATGTGTGAGACTGAAAGAGGAACATTACATAAAGAGCATAGGGGTGGATCGGATTGCGACATCAGATAGGGGTGTGTTAGACGGGTGTGGAAAGGGATGCTTGTGATATAAGGGATTCATGTGTGTATCCAGGAGGGAGTGGAAGGGATAGAGGGGATGGTGGGAGGGTTAATGTGGGTGGGGTTGGAGTTGGGGGGGATGGGTTGTGTTGGGAGGGGGTAGGAGGATAGGGTGTAGGGGGGATATCATTAGGAGGAGGATGGATATCGGCAGTCACTTGGTGTGTGGAGGAAGTAGGAGTTGTAGGATTTGAAGGTTGATGGGGGTCAGTTTTCATTAAGAAGTCTTGGATATTTTCAAGTTTCTTCAATGGAGTTGGTTGGGGAGTTTTGTGGGATACATCTAAGGTCATGTAGCACTATAGTAATGTTAGTAAAGGGTGGTTAAGTTAGTGATTAGTTAACAAAGCTGGGCAAAGGAATTGGCGAGTGAATGGGTTAAGGTCGGGTGAGGTAATGTAAAGGGGTTAGATTAAGTGAGGGATATTTATGTGTTTGAGAGGAAAACAGGTTGTCGAAGGGAGGATAGGTGGGGGGGGGGGGGGGGGGAAGCAGAGCTACAGGCTGCTTCAAAACGTGTGCATGATAATAGAATGTGTGAGACTGAAAGAGGAACATTACATAAAGAGCATAGGGGTGGATCGGATTGCGACATCAGATAGGGGTGTGTTAGACGGGTGTGGAAAGGGATGCTTGTGATATAAGGGATTCATGTGTGTATCCAGGAGGGAGTGGAAGGGATAGAGGGGATGGTGGGAGGGTTAATGTGGGTGGGGTTGGAGTTGGGGGGGATGGGTTGTGTTGGGAGGGGGTAGGAGGATAGGGTGTAGGGGGGATATCATTAGGAGGAGGATGGATATCGGCAGTCACTTGGTGTGTGGAGGAAGTAGGAGTTGTAGGATTTGAAGGTTGATGGGGGTCAGTTTTCATTAAGAAGTCTTGGATATTTTCAAGAGTTTCTTCAATGGAGTTGGTTGGGGAGTTTTGTGGGATAAAGGATTTCTTGTGAGGGGGGGAAGAGAACGCTGGTGTCTCAAGAGAGTTTTGGGGGATAAAGGATTTCTTGTGAGGGGGAGAAGAGAGGACTGGTGTCTCAAGAGTAGGGGCAAAGGATGGTGGAGGTGATTGTGTGGTAGGGGAAGAGGGGGTGGAACGTTTGTTCTGTCTGTTACGGGGAGTGCGAGGAGGGAGAGGGGAAGGTGTTGGGGTTGTAGTGGTGATTGGAGTATCTGTAGTAGAGATTGGAGTTTCTGGATTTAGGATGGCAAAAGAGTTTGACTGGGGAAGGTAGGTGGGGTTAGTGGGGGGGTTAGATGTAGGAGGGGTGGGTTTAGGAGAAGTGTTAGAATGAGCAGTATTACTGGAGTAAGGAGTAAGAGAGAATCCACGTCGACGTGCTTCCTGTCTGGCTTCACGCAGTGTGAGTCCGAGTTTGAATCTGAGAGTTGCTACCTCAGATTCAAATTTGTAGGTGGGACAGCCCCTATAAAATACATTATGGGGGCCGCCACAGTTGGCACATGTGCGTGATTGTGCAGAGCAGTTAGATCGGGTATGGCCAGGTTGGGCACATAATGGGCATCTGGCTGTGGAACGGCAGTGTTTGGCTGGGTGTCCTAGACGCCAACAATTTTGGCACTGACGTGGAGGAGGTTGGTATGGACGAACAGGGAGGGATTCTCCTCCTATGTAGACGTTAAAGGGAAGGTCATGTCTACGGAAGGTAATTTTGGCTATGTTAGTGGGTTTCTTTCGATGACCTCTGGGGGGGATGGAGTAGCATTGTACTGATGTTGCATCGTAGTCTGTGAGACAGGCAAGTAGATCTTCTCCACAATCTGACCAATCTTTGTCATAGATTGGGCAATTTGCTGGTGAGATTGAGACTGTTCCGGTGCAAGTATTGAGGGTTGGATGGGGTTCTGCTAGGATGGGGTTACCATATAGGTCAGTTAGTTTTGTTAATGCAATGGCTTGGTTTTCTGATGTTTCTGTTACAAGACGGGAGCGGTCGGGTCGGCTACGGAAAGAGACTTTACCTACTTGTTTTTGGAGGCATTGTTGGAAGAGAAGGGTGTTGTCAGAGTAGGGAGCTGTGGGAGGGATCACGAAAAATCGGTCCCATTTGGCTGCACTGAAGAGAGTATTCAAGATTGTTTTAGAGATAGGGGTGGTAGAAGGGCGAGGGCGTGACGAAGATGGAGTAGTGTTGATGGAGGTAGTGTTATGGAGAGGTGGGCTATAAGGCTGTAAGGTATTAATAAGGGAGGATGGGGTGGTTGATGTTGGAGGTTGTGGGGGTAGAGGTGTTGAAGTTGGGCATGCTGGGAGAGTGGAAATGTTCCTTGAGGGTTGATTGTTGGCTACTGTACTAGTAGGCATTGGTGAAGGGGCAGTTATTGCAGTGTTCTGAGCCGTGGTCAAAGGAGAGCCTGGGGTCGGGGAATTGGGTGGGTTTACTTCTTTGGGGCTATTTGATAAAGGGGCAAGCCTCATTGCCCCTAACAGTGGGGATATATTTTCATTACTGGCCATGGTAAGCCTGGTTATGTTGGGGATAAAAACAGTCCACCCCTCAGGGTCCCCTTGAGGGGTAAGGGCTAGACTACTAAATCAGGGGAATACCGTGCCCATGGCTCCCTCAGGCCGTTCAGGACTGGCACAAAGTCAGCCTTTCATCCTTTCAGCACGGCTCTCACACCTTAGGAGGTGGATAGCAGAAGGGTTTGGTGAAGGGACAGAAACAAAAGTGGGAAGGGAAAAAAAAAGACCATGCACAATTAGTTGAGTCGAGGGCTGAGTCCCAAGGTTGGGGAGTTCCCCATCATTGGGTTCCAGTCTCCGCCTCCTAAGCCCCCCCACGACAACAACGGGCAAGGGATTGGGGGGGGAAGAGGGTGGGGAAGAAAAGGAAAAGGAGAGGGGAAGAAGAAAAGTCCATGCAAAATGAGTTAAATTAGGGCTGAGGCTCAAGGTAGGGATGACCCCTGGCAATGGCCCTCAGTCTCTGTCTCCTAAGCTCCCCCCATGGCAACAACAGGCAAGGGATTGGGGGAGCAGTCCCAAATAGCAATGGGATATAGGTCTTAAATGGGAATAATTGATTCCAATGCAAACCTCAAAATCTTTATCATCTTTATTGAATATTTCAGGCTTTGGTTGACATAGTATAAGCTATCACATACAATAATTATTCAATGATTTTCATAGGTTACATAATTCAGACTGGACATTTAGTTCCTTTAAGATCTATTATGACTTGTAACTGTCTTGCTTCAGAGTAACTGAATCACGGTAAAGAATCTAAAAATGTAAAAATATAAATGTGTTAATTTACATTATTAATATTAAAAATAATTTCCAAGTAAGGGCAATAAATGCACAATGTTAAGCAAAATAATCTACAGAACGGTTTATACAAAAACTTCAAAGTATTACCTCAAATGTAAACAATGACATGAGTATATAAAAGATCTTGCTTTTGTAACAAAAATGCTATCTCAACTCATGTTAATGCTGAAGTATCTAAAATCTGGTTTCAAAACGACTAGAACACAAGATTTGAACCTTTGAAGAAAACAATTTTTATTTATCATATACAAATCACTTACATACATAATAATCAGCAGTTCAAGTTCATCTGTCTTGCCTTTTATTGCCTTTAACTGATTATTTTCTCAGCAAGGGAAGAGATGCCTTTTCCTTAAATGTTTCTTAATATCTTCAAGGCTAACAAAAATCTTCATACATGGAATACTATTATCTACAATAATGTTCTTTCCTGTTTCCATCCTATGAATATAAATGTTTAAATCTGTCATTATAGGATTGACAAAGTGGTTAAAAAGATATATATATTCTATAACAATTTCAGTCTGACATGAAAAAGAAAAAAAGAAAATTTGAAAAAAAAAAAAAAAAACAATAATAAAAAAAAAATAATAATAATAATAATAATAATAAAAATAAATAAATAAATAACATTTCTTGACACTGCAGCAAATTAATTTCTTAGTTTTTTATCACAATAATCTTGAATGCAACATCCCATCTATTTATCTTTTTCTTTTTCATTGCATAATATTTATGGTACATATAGAAAATAATAAACCGCAAATTGATCAACAAATACTGTAAAACAAGTAACATCTATAATCTGATCATAATGGAACACAGCATATAAATCAAGTATATTCCTAGAACTACAAACTATAAAGTGATACAAATGCAGTATTTCTTTTGACTAACACATGTAAATATAATTATCATGGTACTTAATTTCAGATCTCCCAGTCTCTTCTATGACAGGAAAGTTAATTTTATCATTTTTTCTTCTGCATCCTCCTTTAATCAACTCAAAAAATTGCATTAAGGTACTTCTTGTCCCTTAAAGAATACAATCATAATATTGTGCATTACCATGCAATGCAATCCTTACCACGACTAGCATTAAAAAACCTTACCAATAAAACCACTGATATGTTGGCAACGAGTGCTGCCAATAATAACCTTACCACTTTTTTCATTTCAAAACTGGAGGGTGAGATAGAGAGAAAGTAAAGTATGAAGTCTACCTGCCTTCTAAAGATTCATTCCTCTGCTGATAAGTGCAAGCATCTAATGAATTATTTTGCAATATTCCTATATATCAAAATCACTCACTCCTGGCATCTCAAGAACATTAAGTCAAACTGATCCACTAAAATGTGAAAAAAGAAGAAGAAAAAAAACAACTGATATATATTATATATATATACACGTATATAGATTTGTGATACATATAATTTCCACAGGAAACCAAATTCTCACTCTAACACTTTGAAAATTTTCAAGGAAAAAGTTGTAATAACCAGCGATGGGGCTCAGCAGTGATGCATCAACCTTGCACGAAGCTAAAGCAGGCGTTCAGATCTGAAACAAAGTAGACTGGTTAATCAAAATACCAGCTGGGAATATGTGCACTTCTCTATCACTACCTGGTGTAAGAAAATTGTTCAGGAGCGCATAAAGCATCTATGGATTATTGTTGCAATTTAAATTAAAATTAAAACCCATCATAAAGCCAAGTCTCTCCCTCTAATTACAAAAACTGTTCAGAAATGCAAAGCATATTTTCTACAATTCTAGTTCTGTTTGCAGCTGCAGTAGTTTGATCTCAATGTTCCATGCTTAAGATGCTTGAGCAGAGCCTTGACTTATTTTCTTTTCCCAACAAACTGCAAAAAAAAGACTTTTAAAACTAGTTAAATTTAAGAAACAAAACTTTGGAATTTGCTTTCCTAAGCACTAAAAGCGCTAGCTAATACAGCCATTATTCTTTTCCTTCTTTTCTTCTTCTAAATGTTAAATTGTTATAAAAGCAGCAACTACTCATACTAAATCTGCATTAGATAAAAGTAAAAAAAAAAATAATAATAATAAATAAATAAAACTATACAAAAAAAAAATAAACAAAAGTACTTCATAAAAGTATATAATAACTAAAATCATGAATGCTATAACTTACCATTTATCTTGGGTGTAACAAGTTACGTAGCCCTGCGGAGAACAAAAACAAAACAAATCTGAATAATTCATAGAAAATACAAACAAAAGACAGTGGAAAAGAATATACGTACTGTGGAAAAACAAGACCAAAAACTGACCTGGTACTATTTTTGTAACACACTATTCGGATTCTAAAAAAAGGAATAATAAAAAACTTATTTCATGAGTTGTTACAATATAAAAATAAATTACGAACTGAAACAAGCTTTTCTATACTTTCTGTTTTCTTTAAGTAGACAATCTTACAGTATATAATAAAATAAACAGGACCTTCTCAACCTTAAATGATCCCCCTTAAACTTAGAACCCAGATATACAATATTTTTTCAGTTACACATCTGACTAATGAGAGGCAATAGAATAATAATAATAACAATGATAAAAAAAAGCAAACAAGACAAAGCAAAGAAGTGAGACAAGTAATCTGGAGATGGCGCACATATGGAAAGTTCATATGCAACTGTCTCCTCACTCTTGCTTTAGAATCTAAGAGGTTGCATTACCTCTGTGGTCTCATAAGTGAGCTCAATTGAGTATCTATGGCTTTTGTTTTACTTATACTCTTTATGAAGTGCAGCTCCTATTGTTTTTACCTTAGTTCTAAAATCAACTAATATATTAAGGCATGTATTCTTTTGTCCTTCCATTCAGAAGTTGTTTCTTTTCAGGCAATTTTTTTCTCAGGAAAGTCAGTTAGATAATAATCTGGTCAATAACTAGAAACTAACAAAGCAGGTTACAGTTAGTGTATAATGAAAAAGGCTGAAAAAAAAAATATTATCTAGAAAAGAGAAAAAATCTGTCACTATTAGTAAAAAGTATAAATAAATACCATAGTGAAACTTTTCTATGGAACACCTTTTTTAGTCTGTACAAATTTCTATCTATAATGTTATTTCTATCTATAGGGAATTCAAGAAACATTTTTATACAGAATTGCTTTGCAAGTCCAAAAAACAAAAACTAGCTACTCCTTTTACATTAAATTTGTAGAATGAGGAATAAATACTAAAATTTGATGTTATTAACATCTTATCCATTCACCCTAATAAAAAAAAAATCCATTTTAAGCCATATGTTAATCTGACTCTTGCTTTATTCTAAAAATGTGGGAAGAACATTCAAAGCAATGTCAACACTGTCTAAGGTAAGACATATTGAAGTACACACTATTATCCTTTCCTTGCATGAAATGGTTTATTAAAGATTAGGAGTATTTCTAAGTCTCTCTTTAGAGTGTGGTCATGAACTATAAAGGCTTACATACATGTCTTATACTGTGTTTTACATTCAGGTTATACGATATCTTTTACCTTATGTTGTTCCCAAAAATCTACAATCCTTAGTCACTTTAGGAAAATATTAAAAGCAGGCTCTCTAGGAAATTATCCCTGAAGAGCCTGCATGAGGAGTGGAGTACATTATTCAAAAATGAAAATAAAGAAGAAAATAATAAAAAAATACCAGTCTCTATTTATACAGTAGACAGAGGTGTAGCTTTTCATTTCAGTTATGGGGGGTACATAATTATCATAATGTGTTCCATATTGGTCTCTCATAACAGCCTAACATCAACCTAATCCTGGAACCAATGGTATCAGAATAGCAATATATATAATATATACAAACATATTACAATGTATACATATATCACATTTCTATGTAATTATATATTCTTACTAATATATTCTCTGTTCATATAAATGTTAGCTGACTGAAAATTTTCTAACAGCATTATTCAAAATCAATATAAGAACAGATAATTGGGCAACACTATACCCTGAAGCATTTACTGCAATATTTCAGGGAAAAAAAGATAAAATAATTGCACTTGCATTCACTAATGTATGTGAACAACAACTACTTTATTATCAATTGTGATTCCCCCTTCCCCCCCTCCATGTTAATCTGTGATTATCAAATCTTAAATTTGACCCAGTAATAAAAGTATTCTTGTTTCTTTACTGAAACAAAAGGATATTGTTCCACTTAGCTGAAGTAATTCTTAAAAAATCATTTAATTACTGCAGTATAAATAAACAAACAATAATTTCACTCATATAACCTTTAGCTGAACATATGGCTGGCCTTCAAAAAGCATATGAAAAAAATATTCATATTAAATTATTTCCTGTATCAGCAGAAGGAAGCTTAACAAGACAAAACAAATTATCACTCAAAGCATCAAGCTTTAAATAAATAAATAAAAATCAGCATCATTTCATATTTCAAAGTGAAGGCAGTGGCTGAATTTGCATACTTTCTGAAAGAATAACTTTATGCCCTACTGTATGACACCATTTTAATTTTCTTACTGAAAGACTGGAATATCAACAATATCACCAAACAAAAGCACATCTGGGAGATTCCGAAGAGATATGTGCCAAATACAAGTGGGCTGAACTATACCAAAAATATCCTCTAATGGAAACTGACACAATCACCACTTTCAGAGCTAAGGTGTAACTATTCCAAATGGGGAAGTCTCTGGCACACTAGTTTATGGGGAGACTACAATATATGTGAGCATGGGAGGAGGAAAACAATAGAATACAGTTGGCTAGTGAGACACTGGGAAGCTAGAGTGATGTTTGGAATTACCAAAAGTGGCAGACCTGAATGTAGCTGCATATTAAAATAAACATCAAGTGCTGCTACATGCTTTTGACAGGTTATGGTGAGCATGCCAGGAGACTGTGCTGCTTGATAGTAACTCAGGTCTGCCAATGGGTGAGTCAAAAAATGATCACTGGGATTCAACTGCTATGCTGGACTTGCCAAAAATAAAAGCTCAAACAAAATGGCTCTGAGAGAAGCACAGACACCTCATTACCTTCACCAACCTCCCATAATTATCTGTAGAAATCTTAAGCTTCAAACTGGCGCCACTGTTTACTGCAAGGAAATGGTGATTATGCTCCCTTTCAAGAAATATAAGCGACAATTTAAATATCTCAAAAAAAAAAAAAGGAAACAAAACCTCAACAGCATTACATACACAATTCTAGAAGAAAGTTGCATGTAATATGTAGACGCTCTTGAGAAATGTGGATTCACAATACCATCAGTTAATATATCTACTATATGATATTATGAAGTATGTACTTTTAACTAAAATTAATGCAATAAATGTGAATGTGACACAAAAAACTCACTTTTACTCATGTTCTGGAAAAAAAAAACAATAATAAATTGTGTGCACACAAACATTCCCTTTGACCCTTTTCGTTCAAAACTAAACCTATCCCTCATACAAACTGAACACAACATCCCTTCATTTTACAAATTTACAATGTTAGCATATTTGAAGTGATATAAACCTTCAGCATTTAGTCTACTAGCCTGTTCTACATGGAAATATCTATGACTTATTTGTTCTTTTCCAAATTTAATAAACTCTACCCTTTTCAGCAATAAACCCAAAACAGCCAGGGATATATGCTACTGAGTTTAATTCATGAACTGTCTTTACATATAGATGGCTCCCAAAGTACTAAATTACTAATAAGCTAAATTGGAGTACAACCAATTTCACCTTTTCCTTGTTTTTTTAATATTTTCTTATATTGTTGCTAGTAATATCAGTAATATCATATTACTTACAATATCTATAATAATAATAATAACACTGATATTGATAGCATTAGTAAAAAAAAAAAGAATCATGCAAACTCAAGAAAAGGTGAAATAAGATGTCATAAGGCCTATTAATTGACTCCTTTATGGCTAAGCACTTGCAAAGCCATCTATTTCCAGAGACATTTCACAAAACAATACTACGATGAACATCTTATTTTCCTGGTGGCATGGGATTAAGCTTAAGAACATTAAAATATAACGCTTCAGTTGCATTTTTTCTTTTTTTATCTGGACAAAAGCAATTTTCCCATGCATCTAGTGAAAACTGCTAAGTAATTTTGCTCAATCAATTTCAGGTCTGAACTACCTTTGTATCTAACCAATTTTCTGATCCTGCCTTCAAATCTAAAGAAAATGTGAAAAAAAATCCCGAAGAGGGAAAACTCACTCACAAAAGGAAAGATAGGAAAAATATACTTTGAGATTCCCCCAAAGAAATCTGAGACAGGATTCCTGGTTTGACCCGTCAAATAAATTACTTTTCTATATTTTAAATTCATACTGATTACTGAAGAAGAAACAGAATGAAGAATACATACAGCTGAATTAAGAAAATAATAAAAAAGGATGGGAAAGTGACAGCTGAGGTTGAGAGTGTGAGTGATAGCAGAGAAAGAGTGAGAATAAAACTGTCAGAAACAGTAAGCAAGATAAAGTGAGAATGGATATGACAGAGTGGATAAGATTGAGTCTATGAGAAAGACAGCAAGAATGAGCATGACAAAAAGGAGGGAGAGAAAAAGAGAAAATACAAAAATGAAAATAAGTTTAAGAGTGAGAGTATGAGTAGGAGTGTGACCGATAGTAAGAGTGAGAGTTAAGAGTCAGCATGACAGCAAAAGAGTCTCGAGATGGTGATACGTGTGAGTGTGAGTGAACAAGAATTAGAGTAAGAGTTCTAACAATGAATACATTCTCTTACTTTTTCTTAGTTTTGGGTGATGTTGACTGGAATACTGAAGAGGCTGACATGAGATTTTCTATGTACTGTCCCAAGACCTGGTTTTCAGATCGCAGTTTCAGGTTCTCCTCCTTAACACTATCCACTCGCTGGGACAGATCTGAAAGATGGTTTCCTCAGCTATCATACATATATATATACTTAAGAGATTATCAATCTACAATAACATTATAGTGAATTAACCATTTAAAAATTAATGTTATGCAATACTAATTTTAATAGGGAAATTACAGCTGAAAGGGTTATTCCAAAGTAAGTTTCAATAAATTAATAAATAATATATTTTCCAATGGGGTTGTTTCCATACAAAGAATTAAGTTTTACGATTTGGAATTACATCAAAACACAGCAGGGGTGCCACTTTTTGCAGATTTTGATTAAAAGAGGGCCTTTTTTCTAATTCTGACAAAAGGGGTAAAGATGGCCTTTGCAAGAATGAGCATCTGTCTCCTTTGTCAATCAGGGGACCCCTAGTTGTTCCCATCCTCCAATGAAGGACATGAAATTTGGTAGCATACAACCTAGATTCTTTATCAGTTCCCATATATCACTGCTATATTTCTCAATTATTTTCTTTACTACAGAAGATGGTGAGGAAGAGGAAGAGGTAACATCACAGCAACAAGGAATATAATCTATATTTGGGAGGATGATTATGGACATGTAGATCTATCTAGATCACAATTTAAATTTGTTAATGAGATCTCTGTGAGATACTACAAACTACTATCTTATTTTCATGCATAAATTATGTATGAAAATTTCCCGCTAATTTGTTTCTGATTCTCTAGTTTCTTTCTAAAATAGTTTTCCATAAAAACAATCAAAACTATTACTTTTAAAGGACCATAATGTATAATAATTTTATTTCATAATGAATCTGACCTCCAGGACTAATCTTAATTTGAAGTACAGAAATTTTAAGCCCTGAATTCTGAGTAAGTGTATCTCAAAACCACCACGAATAGTCCTTTTATAAGTAGAAATAGGCCCACATATCTATCAGCCTCAAATATACACTTTATTACAAGTCAATGAAAATCAAATCTTCAACCAGCCTGTGTTAGTTCATTTCTCTACTTACCATCAAGTGTGTTCTGCAGCTCCAGCACCTGTGATATGAGTCGCGCTTTCTCTTCCTGTTCATCTGGTGACATGTCTGGCTCTAAACCTGGAAATATTATTTCTCTGATGCTACATAATTTACATTATCTAATATAAACCTCATGTTTAACCCAATGCCTACGGGTTTATGTGCTGTCCCCTGTAGTATTTTGTGAAGTTTGTTACATACAGATGGCTCCACATGTACTCAGCCACCAAGGAGTCTATCAGTAAGCCCTAGTGACTGTGCCTGATTTCCCCATTCCTTGAATTTGTGGGAAAATGTGTTTTTCCTTCTAATACTATCAAAATTAAAGACAATAAAATAACACAAATGAAGCTTTCAAATTATCAAAGAAAAGGGTAAACAGGTAAGATAGGTAAGACTAAAAACTGACTCTTTGTTGCCTTAGCACTTGTAGAGCCACCTATGTGTAAAGACAATAGATGAATAGATTAATTCTTTTTACAGTGGGCATGGCACTGTCTTCTTGCTGATTGGGTTAAAGGTGTTGAATAATTCAATAAAAGGTTTTCACTTTCCCTGATGATAATAGACACAAGTTTGATCCCAAGGAACTCAGACAGAAAATGGTTATTGTTTACATAACATATACAAGAGACAACCCTTAATATTTCCATGACTATTACAAAGAAGCTTAAAAGACTAAAGAACTATGTGTCTTTCCCAAAACAAAAGTAAAGGAACATACTATTGTGCAAGGGACTGTTGGACCCATTGGTATAGGCTGAAGGGATTGACTCTAGGCTCTGGCCACGGGTTGAGTCTGAAATCTCTGATGCTGCAGTGCGGTCGTCATCCAGCACCACTGTCAATGGCACACGTAACAGTCTTTCAATTATTCATTACAACTTCAAGTATTGGCTATTCTCTTTCATTCATATTATGTAAGGTATATGCATTAGGGCCATATGTATGTATTGGAATATACTGTATCTTTAAATGCATTCACTTTAAATTATATCAATATTACTATACTGGTATGAGTATATCTGTAAATTCAGTATACCTATACATATAAACCACAACAAAACTTAAAAGAATTCATTTGCACTTAAAATACTGTTATTATAATGGTAAAACTATACATATCACAAACATATATCTATATTTCAATAAATTAAATACTACAAAGCTTCTTTAAACTACCTGATGGGTCATCATCCACCAGAGGTATGCTGTTGTCATCCTGGTAACTTGAAATGCTGCTCATCTTGTTCTGGAACAATAGGGTATTACTAATCAACTTGTATGAGGTATATAAACAAAAGGTGAAGTAGGCTGCTATCTCATGAGAAAAATAAGGAAGTGAAGGGGTTGGGGAGGGTGACTACTGCCAATGGGGGAGACCTATCATAAAGATAGGATGCATTGATATCTCATAATAATCAAAGTCAAATAGGTCTGGTAACTGACTTCTTGTTTGACTTGGCATTTTTTAAAACTTATGTTTAAGCAAATTTAGCATAAACAAATCAGTGGATGGCACATTTACACATATATTCCCAGGAAACAGATTTAGGTGTTAGCAGTACTGAATATAACTTTAGGAATATCACTTTATCATACAGTAGCCTTTAGAGGGAAACTTTAGTATGTTTCTTGCTTGCTGCTTTAATTGCTTTATAATGCCAGACTCTTGGCTGGAACTGCTTGTAATAAAATGAATGGCTTTTACATTAACATTTCCTGCTCTATATGCCGCATAGGCCAATCAAATATGCGCAGTCAAAATAGACTGTTTGTTTTTCCATATACTTTCTGCTGTGAATAAGAGCTGTGCAGAGGCAACCAGTAAGTCTGACACTGCCTGGCAAGTTTCCTCCTGCCACACCCACCACACCATCCTCATACCCTATGGAGCCCCTTCTCTCCCTGAGTCAAATATACTGTTGTAATTCCTGTCTCTTCTTGGTTGTGAAGATGATGTAATGAGTGTAAGTATATCAATTCTGTAAGCATATC